GAGCTGACACAAAACTGGCAGTAAGAACTTTATATCCCTTATGACCTTGGAACCCTTTTCAGATACCCAGGGGGTATCTGTGTTCACCTGGGTTAACCTTCAATGGAAGAATTCTGTTCTTTAACAGATAAGGTCACACAAATAAATAGGAATGAGTACTGTATGGTTTTGGTTTGTTGTAAAAAAAAACAACAACAACAAAATCGTTCATTTAGTTTAAAATGGCTATCAGTGTTACTGTTCTTTAAACCATATTTACAGAAATAGTATTTATCAGCTTCCAATAAAGGATAGTCATTTTTCCGAGCAGGTAAAAAAATTCAATAGTCTGTTTTTCTAATAGTAGGAGTTGAGAGATAAGGATATCATTATTAAAGTTTGCACCTCTCTGCGTCATCCTTCTATTTTTCTCTTGTTATTAATTTAAAGACAGAAAAAAACTCCAAGGAAAAGCTGAAGAGATCCTGCCCAGGAGAGTCGATGTGTTGAATTAACATTATAATGCCTCTTCTTCCTGTCTTGCTTCCAGGGCCGGCGATTGCTATAGGCCAGATAGGCAATTGCCTAGGGCGACAAATGTGTTGGGGGGCGCCCTCTAGCGTCGCCCTTAGGCTTACTTCCCATTAATCATAGAATTAGAAAAAAAAAGCGAATTAAACCGGTTATGAAGCGTCCGTCAGTTTGACTTAACCTTACGTATATATAAATAGTAAAATATGAACAAATAAATATACCACCGTTTTTTTATTTTTTTTTTCACATTTAAGAGAAAATCGGAGAAGATTCTGATCACTTTTCAAGCGCCCTCCAACCCGGAAGTCGTGACGTCAATCACTGCAGCACGTACACCAATATTTTGGAATGAAATTGTAAGCAAACAGATATTAAAAGTAAGTCTGGCACTTAACTTTGCTCGCGACTCGAGAATGGCTGAACGGAAAAGACTCCTCCAGCTGCTGCCGCAGTCGGCCCGTCTTCATCATCCACTCAGAGTACCACTGGTGAGCGCACACAGACTTTGTAGCTTGTCCGGTCAGTTACAAATATTAATTGTGAAATCCGTGTTGTAATCGAAAGCATACAAGCTAGTTAGCTTAAAAAGTAAATAAAGTTTCAGACGTGCTGCGTGATGATGTGTTCAGATTGGCTCAGTAAAATGACAATTAGGTTATCATGATGCATTCAAGTGTAACGTAAAGAAAACGGGAAATTATGTTTTTGGCGAGAAACATGAGTACGGTAATACAGTTGTATATTGCTCTATATATAATTAAACTACTGATGCCAACATTTATTAAAAATTACATTTAATTTAAAATACAATTATTTATTTGTTAAATATTTTCCTAATCACTAAAAACATGATGAAAAGTGACAGTAGACAATACATCAATCAACAATTGTGAAAATATATTCTAGTTAGTTTTATGTCATTTCGAAGTGGCCTATTACATTAGCCATGTTTATTGAAGGCTAGAAACGTTTTTGTTATGCTCACTTGTTAAGCAATAGAAGCAATACCAGTTCTGTTAAAAACATCATAGAATATGTGAACAAAAAAAAAAAACAACAACTTCAAACTTTTAATTTTGTAATGGTATTCATAAAAGCACTTTTGTTTGTAGAGGGTTAATCCTTTCTGTAATCACTAATCAATGTCAGAAATCAGGGTAAATATACCTGATATATTTTATTTAGAGGAAAATTTTGTCTATCTCATTTGTATTTTGGTTCAAATTATTTAATTGAACTGGAACAGTGGGGGGTGGGGTGTGTGTGTGTGTGTGTGTGTGTGGGGGGGGGGGGGGGGGGGGGGGGGGGGCGCAAAACTCAATCTCGCCTAGGGCAACCAAAGGGCTAGAACCGGCCCTGCGTGCTTCATATTTTTTCCAAATGGTTTTTCCCCATTTCAGCTTTCCATATCTCTCACATTCCCACTACCATGTTTATTCTGCGATTACAGCTGATTTAGACAGATTTTTCTATCTGGCTCGAACTCATCTCACAAGCATCTGTGAGTAGGGGAGGACTGAAGAGTAGCAATGGAGGGGCAGACTGCAGCTGTGCCGCGGCGTGGTGAAGAGGGGGCCTTGTCCAGGCTGCTTGGAACAATATAAAAGCGCTAATCACCTCAGACAGCTGACACCCTGTGCCTCACACATTTACTAACTGTATCCCACAGACACACTCATACATACACTGAGATCTGAGGATTGCCTTTGCAGCATGGAAGAAGAGGAGCTCTGCCCAGGCAGGTTCAGAAAACAAAGTCCCTGTTTTGTCTATGAAGTCACAGCGCTTCAGAATTCAAAAATGCTCTCAAATAAAGATACTTGTGTTAACTTCTAATAAGAAGAAAGCACATAAAGCAACTTCAAAGGAAGCTTAATAACATATAGAGGATAATTTCCCCCTTTGTGCATGATTGTATGCAGAAGAAAACACACATGGTTATCCTGCAACAAAAAACCCACATAATATATCGGGTGCTTGCACACTCTCGTGCATACAGAGACGCACACACACGTGCATACACAAAAGTGTCTTGGGGAATTTGACCTTTTCCCAAAAGCCTCCCTTTCCTGCCTCTGCTCCCCTCCCCCTCTGGCTGTGTGAAGACTGAAGGGGTCAAGGGTTAGGTTTTGGGGGGCTGAAGATTAGGTTTCACATGACTGAGCACCTTTGTTGGGGCAGGCCTGCAGAAAGGAAACGTCCAGGAGGGTAGCTCTGTCTGTCTGAGAGGAGAGAAAGAAGAGAGAGGGGGTGGAAAAGGAAGAAAGAAGAGAGGACGGCCAGACGGATGGAGGGAAGGATGGATGGATGGACCAGTGGAAGGACAAGGCTTTAGTTGAAGACTGGAGCTGAAGGGCAAGATCAAGGGAAAAAGTAGAAAAAGAGGAAGAGCAAAAAGAAGAAAGTGAGAGCGTATTAAGAGTAGAAATGAGAAAAGCAGAGTAACCTCATCCCAGAAATTCCTTACTCTCTCCTTACACTTCTTCTTTTCTTGACCATGTGGCTTCTGCTAGGAGCCAGCAAGCATCCTCAGTGGCCACGCCGATCTGCCTTGTGACCACACAGTGAGAAGAAAGTCCCAGCCAAAACAGTAAAATGGATCCCAGCAGAACCAACCCCCTACCCCTTTCCACCTCCTCCGCTTCCCTGGTCTCTCCACTTCACAACATCTGAGACATGGTCTACCCACCAGATAATATGCACAGCAACTGGTAGGGAAAGAGTTGGCAGAAACCTGGATTACCTCGCTTGTGAAGTATTACTTTAAATGTTTGCATGCGTGACTTTTTTTTGCTCTCTCCCCATATTCCCTACATCTCAGAATTAGAGAGAGAGATTTTAACGACGTGCAACAGCTTAAACATAAATGACTCACAGAGGTGGGACTGGTACGTCTGATGGCTTCCAGATAAGGTGAAAACTTTGACCTCCAAGTGAAAAAAAAAAGGGCTGGGGGCAGGAATGCGTTGAATATAGCACACACAAGCCTTTACTGAGAGAACATTTTCTGCTTTCAACTTGTATGATCACCGGTTAACCTTTTATTTCTTACATTTTGGACAACACATTCCTTAAAATAGTATATAGTAGTCTGTTCCAACACTGCACATGTTTGCTGGGGGTGGGGGTAACCCTTGCAGTTGTCTTTAGGATTTTACTGAGGATTGCAATGTTTGGCACCAGCATATGATTGGTCTATCATTTATGGGGTTTCTTTTGGAATGCTAACCGATTGGCTTGAAAGAGGTGGAGCAGAAAAGGCCAAAAGTTTCCTAAAAAGTATTGAACTGACCTTGAACCTTGGGGTATTGCATCATCATTTTATACTTTTTTTTGCTATACAGGGAATTACTTTTTATGTTTTCATATGATATTATCTGCTACTAGTAGCATCACTGGGATGGGTTGCACTCACATGCATGCAAATGCTCAGGTTGTATTAAACTTGAATGCATACTGTTTCCAAGGGGTTTCGCTGCCAGAGTTTATATAGACAGTAAAAAAAAAAAGGACCACATTATCAACACCCCATGACTTGTGTATGCTTATTCGTTTTACGTGCATATACGGCTCTGTGTGTATGACTATGCATACGTAAGAGATGGCAGGGTGTCTGTTTACTGTCCTGTGAAGAAAAATCTTAAGTTTACCCTTTGGCCTCTTTATGCCACTCTATCTCAGTGTCAGAAGGGCTGGACAGTAACTCAGCAATACATATTTTACAGCCTGTAAGCTGTTACCAATAAAAGATTTTAAGTTAGTGATTCTGGCAAATAACTAACTGAAAAACATATACAAACAAGCTTTCTTGTATTTTAGTATTTTATGGAGATTGCATATGATAAGCCAATACAAAGAAGTGAATGATATAATTTTGGTCTTTCTAACACATTTATACACTTCAATTAAGGCCATTTTAATGTTTGAAACTTGGATAAAACATCCTGACCTTAAGTTTTGGATTGTTTTGCTGTTGGAACGTAAACTTCCAGTCTCATTTTTGCCCTGCGTTTAGGCTTCTCCGCTCTTACGAGCTAACTAACACCACTCCATCATATAATACCATAAAAGCCATATTTGTATATCATATAATAGCATAATATACAAATATGCCTTTTGTAAATCATATTCATAGCCATTTCTTGGCAGATCAATTATATTCAGACACTGATTTTAAAAGCCTACTCTTTAATTATCCCCAAAGTTGGAATAATTGTTGGAAGAAAAATTTAGTATAGGAAAAGTAAAATAAAAAAAGTCCAAGCTCAAGGGTTATGAACACTTAATGCCAAAAGTATTGTGTACCAAATCAATGAATTCGTATGTTCATGGCTGCATGTCTTGACCTCAACCTTCTAGGGTACCTTTGGGAAGAACTAGAGCCAGGAGGGCAATCCTGGTTTCTAATTTTACTATGAAGTCATTAAAGCTAATGTGTATGTAAAAGTAGAGACATGGTGCAACACAAGAAGCACAGAATTCCAATATGTATATAATACATTTTATTATTATCAAGACAAAATGGCTGAGTGAAGAAAAACAGCTGAAAATAGAGTGGCATTTCCATAAACTGAAAACAATAACAAGAAACTTGCAAGTTGAGAAAAACTCATAAACGTTGGTCAATGACCTTTGGTCATTAAACAGAAATTAGGCCATCATAATTAATCAAGGAGGGAGAAGAACTGAAATTATTTTTGCAGTGAATCTGTTCAGAACAGAGCAGGTCTCTCTCTCTCTCTCTCTCTGTGTGTGTGTGTGTAGTCATAATAAATAATGTCGACCTATGCCAGGGGCCAACTTCAAGTTCAGTTCAGAGCAAACAGCTTGAAAGCAAATTCAGAACACAGGATTAAATCTTAAATGTACCTCAATACCAGCGGCATGACAGCATGTACCCACATTTGTTTGTGATTATACTCCTTGCATATGAGTTGTACCATCGTACCATCTTCAAATCAAAAAGCACCATGGTTTATTTTGTCTATATAAAAAAAAAAAAAAAACTTTTTCAGGTAAATATTGTACTGATTGCATATGACAAAATGTGTCTTTTTTTAACAGCTGGAATGTTTTCAGGTGATACATGATCAAAGACAGTAAAAAGTTGGCTACAAAGAAAAACCCAACAATAGCTTGTATTACTGCATATAAAATGGCAGGAGAGAACAAAAAATATATAAACCAACAAAAAAGATATGTACAACCACCTGTGTTTACCTCATTGTGGTCACCCCAGCGGGACTGCCTGAAAAGGCCATCATATGGCCTCTCACCCTTCGGGGAACACCACAGCCTTTTATTTTTCAAAAACATACTTTTTTACCAAAGCATACAAATTATTCACACTATATTATCCTGCCAAATTAGGAAAATATACGGTGGCAGCTTGTTGGGATTTTATTTTACTACAGAAAAAAAAGAGTACATTGAAACCTCTAAAGAGTACAGGCAAAACAGTTAAAAATACAGGCTCCAACATAAATACTATAAGTGCCTACGCTAAGTGAACATTAATTTCAAATACCATTCTAAATACAGGAAAAAAGTAGACCATAGATGTGTTTTGAACATAGGAACTTACAAGAGTGTGCATTTTCCTATGTGTTTTAGGTTCTCTCTATATATTTATATATCATAAATCTCTCCTCAATGCAAATTTTTGTTCAACCTGAAGACTTGTATCTATTAGTAAAGGCAAAAAGATGAGAGACATGTTTTTGTTTTTTTTGTTTGTTTTTTACAAAGTTCATTACATAGTGATCAGTCCTGGATGCTACCATGACAGATTAGAGAAACATAAAAAATAAAATAAAATTATTCAAAAACAAAATTTAAATAAGGTTCCCCCTAAAAATGCTGAGGTTTTACTTAAAACAGATAAAAAAAAAAATTTAATTTTACGACTATGAGCTTTATTGTGTCTATTGTTTGTATGGCAATTCCTGCATTTATACCTCCAAGAGCAAAACCCCTGTAGCTCTCAGAAGATGGCTAGCAAAGTCTCTTTTCTTTTTTTTTCTTTTTCTTTTAATAGTAAGCAAATACGCCGTGCTAATCTGTCAGCATAAGAGTGAGTTTTCCCTTGAGCGCCCAACTGTAAACTGGGAAAATTGAACAGTGCATGTAGGTGGTTCCAGATCTGGAATCTGGTCCTCGTTTTATACTCAACCAACTGTACCTCCGATTAGAGAGGCAGATACAGAATCCAAGGCAGAGTGACAAGTGCTATATCATCATCATCATCATCATTGACATGGGAAGGAGATTAGAATCATCAAAAAGAATAGCCACATTTAGGTCTAAGAAAAAAGAAAGAAATTGAACTTTTTAGTTACAAAAACTAGAAAGTACACATGTTTCGTTTGTCAAACTTGTATTATTTGCTTTAGATGTTTTTCAAAGCAAATTGTTTCAGATTCCTTCAGCGTCTTTCAAATTTAATTTGTGTGTAAGAACTCATGCTTTGATGCATTCATTCGGGATGGTTTCATTTTCTTTGCAATTTAAAACAAGCTCTTCGATTTTCTCATATTGTTTTGATATTCGTAGATAAAATTTGGAATAGGTCAAAAACATGAAGCAAAAAAAAAATGAAATCATCACTAGCTGAAAAGTTGGATTGGTGCATCTCCAACAATCATCCATGCCCATGCTTCCACATCCTGTTACCAAAGCTCCCTGTTACACACTTGCAAACCCAAACCTTAAGATGCACTAATCAGTTGGCCAGAGAACAGAATAGGCCAATTTTCCTTGATTGGCAGGTAAAACACTAAAGAATTTAAAAATGTCCCGCTATCCATTACAAACATAATGACTCCTACCATTTTATACACTAAGAAAAACAGCTTGCTGTGATGCATTTTCATTTGGATTCAAGACAAACTCCTAAAGTAAAGAATCGGCTGCACATCCTTTTTCCTCTTTTATAGGCTGTGGTTTGTACACACAAAAAAAATATTTTTATCTAAATGATATTTGGCAGGTCAGACTTAAAAAAAAGGACAAAAAAAGAACAGAAACCTGAAGTGGCCATGAAAAGCCTGATTGGTGCATCTCTACTTTTTAACCGTCATCTTGAGTTGCAAGAACTAAATCCCCCTTTTTTTTTTTATTTGAGGTGAAATTATAGCCAGAATGGCTAAAACAGAAGGAATATAAATCAGTGCTACTTACAAAATATTACCTGCACTTTTAAATTTTTTAAAAACAAAAAATTCTGGAAACTTTAAGAGCTTCATGTTGGTTAAAACAACTTGTCAGAGAACCTTTTTTGAGTTGTACCAAACACTTACACCAAAACCAAAAACCTCTAACTCTTCCTAAGCATGTTGCATGCCAGTAAACAGAATTGTAATCATGAAAAAATTAATATGCATTAATCAGGCAATTAAAAGATTTACCAGAAAAACACAAATCTTTTTTTTTTTTTTAGGTTTGTTTCAGCTGGTCCTGCAAAGTCTCCCCAAAAAAGCAACTAGGTTGTGCAGGTGCTTGATGCAAGGACCTGCATCTTCCCCATGTCCTGTAAATATCTATAGCTGAAACTCTGAGCTCATAGCAAAAAGGAGAATTATCTAATGCAGGTAAAATATCCAAGGCACTCTTTGTCGTCATGTCACACTACATTTAGTAGCCACAATGTTTGTAAAAGAACTATTTATTGGCGCTAGTGCCCAGCATTTTATAAATGACCCAATTCTTATTCATATATATCAATATATATATCTATAGATAGATATATGTATATTGATATGGATATATATCTCGTCTCAATGTTGCATGGAAAATCTTTCAGAAAGATCAGTTTAATGTTTGACCCTGCTTGTCTTGATGTTTTGACAATATGACACTGTCAGCTATGTTTGAACACAAAACTGTACATGATATGTAAAACAGTACATACTGTATGCAGCTTGGGTTATTTCGAACAGGGTTTTTTTATGCTGAGAAAATTTTTAAGTATCAACAGCAAAACATGTACAACCAAATCCTCCAACCAGGAAGATTTTTACCTTAAGTAGCCAAAACACACCAAGCATGCTGTCCAGTTACAAAAAATACAAAAATGTGTAAATTATTGCACAATAGAAAGGCTCAAAAAGTTCTGATGCAATAGTATTGCCCCAGTACTGGATCATGCATCAAGTTTTCTCCAAAAGTGACTGGAGAACAGGGCTGCACGGCATTCTGTTGTCTAACCCTGTTGTATTTTCCCCTTTGCTTAGTGGCTACATAGCCAGAGTTGGTTTTTAGCCAGGGGGGAGCTGAGAGAGGACTTTTTGCCTATTCAGTTTTAATGTCATTAGCCAGAGGGCGGTCACTGTGCCATTTCTTCATGTGTTTCTCTAGAGTGCTGTACACACTAAAAGGCATGTGGCAAATTTCACATTTGTACACATCCTTGCCCATCTGTCCGTGGGTTTTCATGTGACGGGTGAGTTTGGAGCTCTGGGCACATGCATAACTGCACAGCTCGCACTTGTATGGCCTCTCCCCAGTGTGGCTCCGTCGATGCACCGTCAGGTTGCTGCAGTTCTTGAACACCTTGCCACAAAATTCACAGGTGTCACTGCGGCGGCCATCCTTGGAGCTCGGTCGGCCATTTCCGGTGCCGCCGTGTGGAGTGCTGGCCCCACTGCCTGTGCCGCTGCGTCCTGAAGGGGCTCGTTCCCCATCGAGCTCACCAGGGGGAGTGGAAAAGCGCAAGCTGCCATTTTCTGATGAGTGCTCAGATGAGGAGGTAAAGGGTGATTGTCTGGAGTCCCCACCTGTAAAGTTGATGAAGGGGTCCTTGAGTTGCCGGGAGGCAGCATAGCCTGCTAACCACTGAGAATAGACATTCTCTGTGTTTGGGATGGTAGGGGTAGGTGGGTCTATATCCTTTTCTATCTTGATGCGTTTGGATAGAGGGCTGAGTGTGTCAGGACTGATCCTCCCACCCAGCAGCTTTCTAGAGAGGCTGTCACTGGACAGTCGTCCAAGGCCATTTATATTAGTGGTGGATGCATCATCGGTGCGGTCTAATTCAACAGCTGAGTCATCCTCAACGGGCTCTCGAGACAAGCTTCTGCGATGTGGATGTAGAGCATCACTGTTCTGGTGGTGGCGGGCCCCTTCCAGTCGCACACTGAAGCGATAGTTTTTCCTTCCCTCTTCTTCAACTCTGGGCTTACTGTCGATTTCCTCCTCCTCCCCTTCCTCCTCCTCTTCCTCCTCTTCTTCTTCCTCCTCTTCATCTTCCTCTTCTTCCTCCTCTTCCTCCTCCTCCTCCTCTTCATTTTCAGGCATAATCCCATTGTTTTCACTTTTGAACTTAGCCACCACTGACTTGAGTGCATCAGTGGCACTGCCCAGTATGTCACTAGTACCAGGTTCAGGTGAGCTGGCAGTTGATAGGCCATCATCTGACTTGACATTAAGCGCCAATGACTTATTCTGACAGTGTGTTTTCATGTGACGTTTCAGCTTGCTGGCCTGTGTGCAAGCATGGTTGCAGAGGTGACACTTGAATGGCTTTTCCCCTGTGTGACTTCGCCGGTGCACAATAAGGTTACTCTGGAACTTGAAGGTCTTCCCGCAGAACTCACAAGACTTTGTCTTGAGAGGAGTACCTGGCTGGACTACATTTGATACAGGATTAGGGGTGGAGCGGGACCCAGATGGGGAGTGGGAGGTGGAGAGGGGAGGTGTGGCTGTAAATGGAGGCTTTGAACCTGCCTGGAATGGCTGTAGCAGCCGTTGCATAGGGTTAGGTCTGTTAGGGGAGAGAGGGGGAGAACCACTGGTGGCATTCCCAGCAAGCTCCCTCAGACGTCTCGAGAAGTCCATGCTCTGAGGGGGTTCTAATGGCACTGAGTTCAGCCTCATCACTCTGTCGAAGGCGCTAGGATGATGGGTTGCCAGGGCAAGATCATCTGGGCTGAGATGGTGGCGAGGCGGTGGGCTAAATAATGGGGGGGTTCGAGGATAACGGCCCTCACGTGGTGTGGATGCTGAATCCCGGCCAGACCCTGATCCCGGCATCCTCAAAAGGCTGTAAGGGCTCCCATCAGCCAAGTGAACCGCATGGAGCGGTGGCTGGGAGGAGGCACAATCCCCCCCCATCCCAGGAGCGGCAGCTACACGTGGGGTAAGAGGGCTGCCAGGTTCACTCTCCAGATAGATGCGGAAGCCATGAGTGTTCTGGGCATGTTGGAGCAGGAACCAGGCACTGGTGAAGGGTTGTTTACATGTGGTGCAGGTGTAACTGCTTGGCTCATCTTTATCTGCCAAAAAAATAAACAGAGAAAAAAAAAACTTGATTAAAATAAAGCATAAAATGAAAACAAGGCTGCAGGACAATATATCTGTTTCTTTGTTTTGTTTTGATTTTTGACATTCAGAATTCATATTACCGTATACTACTTTGACTACAACTGTCAGCATAAAATGAAATTTCAGAAATATAGAAAAGAAAAACAGAGGAGACATTGTGAACATTTAAAAGAAATATAAATAAGGGTGGTTTAAAGGTGCAAATCACTAGAATGTAGAATTTGTAAAATGAAAAATAAATACATTCTGAACAAATTTATTTATTAATCTAAAGGCACATCTTATGCTGCCGATGGCCAATTTATACAGATCAGAAGGCACAGGAATAATTCAAACAGTAATTGACTTTCAATTGCACTTGTACACTGACCTGAGATCTGCTTGACAATGCATGCCTAATCTCGTTAAACACACTCATCTCCCCTCCAATACCTTGTTTACAAAATTAGCAATTCTAGAGTGGGACATGTATTGAATGCTGCATATTAACGACAAATACAAATAAGGGGTAACGTGTTAATAATTATAACAGTGTTTATCAGAAAGAAACACACATTCGCAGGAAATAAAAGCCAGGAAAGAAACTGCATCTGGGTTTTTGTGCGTGGGTGGGGTGGTTCCTTTGAAAACGCATTTCATGCATTACTTTTCTATTTCTGATATTTCATGCTTTATGGATTTATTTAAATCCTCTCAGGTGAATAGAAAACGAGAAGAAGGGGGAAGAAGAAGTGAGAGCTATGCAAAATAAAAAGCATCCACCACTTGCAAATGTGCTCCTCCTTTCATCTTTTGCCTTTTTTAAAATCCTTTTTTCTCTCTCTTTTTTGTTCTTCTGGAGGGCATTTGTCCAAAGTCATTTGCAGACACTGAACCCAAAATCCATAGCAAAGAGAGGAAGAACAAGGGAGAGAAAAAGATATTTAAACCATGTATAACGGGGACTGTATATGTTTTAAGCTGGTCACGGCTTATAGACAAAGCTGGCAGAGAAAGATGAGAAAGGAGAGATGCTGTGGTCGAGCCGTGGTAAAACGAGTTTGATGTTTAGAGGTTTCGCTTCCTATCTCTTGTGTCCTCAGCCACAGAGACCCCCCCCCCCCACAAAGTCTACCACTTAAAGAGCAGAGCAAGGCATAAAATGTGAACCAAATCAAACCTCCACGCAAACCTTTTCTCTCCTGAATGAAAAGAGTTGGAAGGGGGTATAATGGTAAATTATGGATCATTACAATCTGCAAAAATTACAGTTAATTGCTGCCACCTGCAATGGGCTTTGACCCACTATGGAATTTTTCCATCATAAAAAAGCCATTTGCCCGTACGATTTTTTGCTCTCTCACAGCCTCTTTCCTCTCTTTCATAAGCACAAATAAAAAGTGCCAGTTACATTAACACACACTTCCTGATTATGTGTGTTTTTACAGCTTTAAAAGAGAGCCCTATATCCCCCATAAAAATAGTTGCAATAACCCACATTCTGCTGTACATTTTCCTTTGATTTGAAGCCTGTATACTGTATACTTCCTAATGTTATACCATAATGTGTGAGCATACAAGGTAAATGCCCCAGGAGGAAAACAACTTTCTCTGTTATTGTGAGAGAATAGAAAGGACGATAAGGGCTTTCTGACAGGCAAAGACTGTCAGAAAGGATAAATAATGGATTTTTCAAGAGGAGTCTGGAAAGTGACTGAAAGAGTCAAGAGAAAAAAAAGTGGAACAATTAGTATGTTGTGAAGGGGATGGTCCTACTGACAACCATCCTTTCCACAGAAAACAAAAGCCACCACAAAACATTTAAAGGCCTGCTGTAAATCCATTATTTAATCTCTGCTATAACATAACTTAACCAATACAATCACCTTTTGCATGAATATTTGACAAACTGTACTCAAACCATAAGCAAGCATAATAGTTGTTTTTTGGATCCGAGAAATGGACACAATGACGCACATTAGAAAGTCACAACAACGGCTGCCAGAAATTACAACAATGGCACATAAGATATCTAAATAATCCCACTATTGTCCTTAATAGTCATCCTCTTGGAAATGGAAGAAAAGTAATTCAAAGGGATAAAAGACATTTTGACAAGGCGTTTGATGTTTTTCTTTTGTTTTTTTTTTAAGAAAAGAAAAGAGAACTCTGAGGGAGGAAGGAGGGTCTTACAAACAACTCTATCTTCTAATGGAATAAAAGAGAATCTCCCACTCTCTCTCAATCTGTTTCTACCCTTCTAGTAACTTAAAGTCTGGGGTGAGTTAGGGCTGGAGAGCTGCAGAGCTGAGGCTAATGCTGGATCTCCAGGTCCCTTTGAAATAGGATCAGCAGAGAGGAGAAACCACACTGACAAGCCCTTAGCTGCCATTTCATGGCAGGACTGAAAGAGGGGACTTTAGAAGAAAGAGGGAGAAAGACAGACAGACAGACAGACAGACAGACATACAGACAGAGGTGGAAACTAAAATAACTCATAGAGGTAGAGAAAATCAGATCTACAATATTACAAATAAAAATCAGCAAACATGCTATGTTTATTATGTACTTTTTGAGCCATTCAGAACATTGCAACACAAAGAAAGGCATAGACTTCATATCTGCGAGTTCAAAGTTGCCAGGCAGAGAATATGATCCTGATTGTAATCAAACTGGTCCCTTAAATAGCAGATAACCTCACATTCTACTGAAACCACCCCAAAGCAAGCAACATTCAGCCTAGGTGACTGATGTGCACGTGTCAAATATCAACTAATCTCACACAGCACACCTTAAGAATGAAATCTGTGTGCCGTCCCAATAGGCCAAGGGAGCAAAGGAGGTTGAAGTCAACCTGCTATTATACCATGGAGTTGGACAATGAAATCATGACAGTGCTGTAAAATTTAATGATGTGTCTTGCTATGTAGCCCGAATTTGTAATTAGGGTTAGGGTTACTAATTGATGGACAGTCAATAGCCATGGGATTTAGAGCAAATATAAGAGTAGCGAGAGGAGTCTGAAAATTGTATTATTTTTCAATCAGTAAAGGGATCATTCAGAATTGGTAACACCAATATTCGTTTAATCGTTGTTAAATTTGTTACAGAGGCAAGTAAGGCAAGTACGGACAAAGTTTGCTATTTCAAGTATTAAGTGTTTAAAAATGAAACTGAATATGCTCTTGAAAGGCAATCTGGAAGTCATGGAAAAGAAGTGTCATCTTTTACAGAGGAACTCTGACTCGATCTCAGCTAATTAAAATTCAATTAAAAGTATTTTGTTGTTTTTTATAGTGATAGAAAGTTATGGAGAAATTAGACCTTTACAGAAAATTGGATTAAAAGTTGTGAACTGGAAAATCTCTGGTCAATGCACCCTGACAAAAAACACATGTTGGTGAGTCATTAGGTACTTAACAAATCTCCCAACTTAAAACACATTGTAGTTCACAATGAAATTAGTAAGTAGCGGTTAGCAGGTATACGGCGATATTGTAGTCTATTGTCTGGACAATAGCAAAGGCAATGGTGTTCCATAATAGGTCTCAAATATGTTTCAACCCTTAAATGCATTTTATGAATACTGTAGCTCTCAACAGTAGCCCCTATAGTCCTACCATGACATGACTAGTTTGATTAGTGATGTACAAACATTTATTGAAGGAGGAATTTGTTTGGCTGCTGTATGATAACATGGATTAGTATGTCGTTAGCGCCCCAAAGCAAGGCATGTCCGCAAGCAATGGGAGATTTTGACTTGAAGCAGTTTTTAAGCAATGAGATAAGCTCTCTGCATCCTCAAATGTATTCTAAACTTTTTGTCCAACTCATTCTCCAAGTTGTTACACTTTTCTTGACCTAAGTTTCTTTTTTGGTAAGTTTGATTTGTCCTTGACCAACCCAAGTAGTTGTCCTAGTGTGACCACATAGCTTTCACTGTTATTGGTCATTAGGCTAATGGAGGAACAACCTAACAGGATTAGGTTGTGGGTCCTCAAAAAGACAGAGGAAGAGGAACAGAGAAGGATAAGGGCAGATGGGCAGGAGACTTGGGGGACACAGCATGTAACGGCCATTTCTCAAAGTTATCAGTCGCTATGGCTTAAGGGAGCACTTACAAATACCTAAAAGTGATTATGCTAATACAGGTCCTCACCAATATTCATAAGTGTTTATAGCTGTTGGAGTGAGTGCTTTAGAAGGAAGGAGGCTTGTCAGTATAGTGTCTCTTAAGATTGCCTTTAGCCATAACTGGTGTTAATGTGATTACTACTCTGTTTATGTCATTAGGGTATTCACAGTCAGGAATTGGACAGGGGTGAAGGGTGAAGCAGGAGAGGACATGATGAGGGAAAAGAGAGAGTGGATGTAGCCCAGTTCTTTTCTGAAGTCCCTTTCTTCTAAATGACTTTCAGCTGTATTTACATACATTTTTAGTTAGTTGTTTATTAGCAGTTTTAGAGATAATTCAAATAATACATGCATTAAAAATTATCATCATATGAAAGCTGACTCATCTTGCAAACTTGTCACTTTGACCTTAATTCTTACCGACTCTATCTCTGTACCTTAGTCAGTTTCCCTGCAACACAACCAGGCTCATACTCTTGCTTCTTTGACTTGGGCAGGGCTTACTGTGGTCTGCAGAGCACCTGGACACTTGGAAGAAACTTAATTGCAAGAAATGCTGCTTTATAAACAGAAAACAAGCCAATACTTGAGGGTGTTGGAATTATTAGCTGATGGGTGATTCACAAGATGAAAAGTAGAAAACATAGAGGTTGCAAGCAAAAATAAAAAGGTGGGTTGTGTAAGGGTTGAAGAGGAAATGCTTGTTTTGGCAAGAAAATGCTAAAAAGGGAAAGCAAACATTTCAAGATAAAGATCCATTGTACATTTAGGAAGGGGGGTTCAATGCTCTCTTTTAAAAGAAACCTACTGGCTGTTGGCTTTGTCTTACCTTTTCTTT